CAGTTACGCCACTGTGTACAGTGCAACAGTGCAATATGAAAATCAATTAGAATATTTTTTATATAATTTTTTTTAATTTCTATTTTACTTTTTAATTTATTTTATTATTTTATATATACCTAATACTTAAAATTTAAATGTATACTATTGTCTATCAATATTAAACTCATACATTAAATTTCTCTAACACCCATTATCATACCCATATCTCTAATAAAAAATATTATTTTTAAATTAATTATTTTTTCACTTAATTCAAGTAGATTTTTTGGTAATTTTAGATTATGAGTGGAGCGATTAAAGTATTGATTTTACAATAATGTGTTTTTTTATTTTTAGTGTCGGTGTAGACTGTAGATAGGTACACGATAACTGATAAGTTGTTGAAATAATATGCTTCAATTTTCAACTTTATTATCTTATTCGACGGGAAAGTGAATCTAGAGGTCAAAATTAAAAATCCCAGAAGTTTTTTAAAGGGCCAGGAAAAACAAAAAAATCGGTTTTCGACAAAATCAATTTATGATTTTGGTGTAACTCTAAAACAAATGACTATAGATATATGATATATTCAGTGAATGTATTTATGAATTAGCATTTTATATACACCATACAATTTTCAAAATATTTTGACTCGTTTTGAGCTTTTTACTGACATTATTAATTTAAAATTGTTTAGTTTTTTTTCTATAAATATCAATAAAATGTTATTTGTTGGGTCATAAATAAAAAAATAAAATGAATTAAAAATAAAAATGATAATTTAATACATGGCTCTTAATATAATGTTACAATAGCAGTTGAAAAAATTAAAAATACATAGGGTACAAATTTTTTTATAAATATTTAACGTTCAAAATTTGACAACATTTATCAAATCTAAAATATTTTAAAATGATTTTGTAGTTAAAGATTTATAAAATGTTCAACTTCTATAGCTAAGGATTAAAATTCTAAAACAAGGTTCCTCGTAAATAGGTAAATAAATTACTTTATTCACAATAATTGCATCAAATATATTTAGTAATATTATATTATTATAATATATAGGCTGACTGACCGTCATCGTTTTTAGTATAAATTTAACACCATCTATTACAGATGACCTACTTGACGTAACCTACTGTACAGCAGAGCGACACCCACTTGTCCACCTTTTTAAGTTCATTTTTTTTTAGTTTTTAGGGCATTTTAGCATTTTATTCAGGGTATTTTTGTGTGTTTTTAAGGTTATCAATATCTTAACTCTTACTATCCGTGGATCATTTTTACAATTGTAAATTTTGATAGATTAATTACTAACATTTTAGCTCCCATAATTTCTTAAAAACCCATTATCATGGACCTATTATCTTTCGCACACAAACTGAAATTAAATAAATATTTGTTTGAATTTTGATTTAGATACGTCAACATTTTCAGAAAAATTAATTGAAATTTGAAAGCTAAATAATTTACAACAGAAAATGGTGGTCATTTGAAAAACGAATGTACAGGCACTCCACTATTCCACTAGTAGTACAAAAAATCTTAAGAATTTTAAAATATGATATTTATGCAAGTAATGTATATTTAAAAATTCTAAAAATCAGATTTTGAATTATAATTGAAGAAAAAAGGGGCAAGTAAGCACGCTTGGTGAATCATCCAGCTGTAGATAAAGAGTTTGAACAGTTGCGGATCTATAAGCTTCAGAAAATTGTCTTATAACTTTTATAAAGAAGTTATTTCAAATTTAAATAATGTACATAAATTTGTGTTTTATTTTAGTACCTATACAATATTATAATATATTTGGTAAAAGTTCACTTTAGCTACCCAGCATTTTTTTTTCAAACTTACTTATTTCAACTAGTTAAAAACGATGGTGCAAAAAAAAATGTTGAGATAATTATTATTTGAGAAATTATAGTTTATGATTTTACGTTCAAACCGCGCTCATAACGAATTTTGATTTTGTTTTTTTACGTATTTTAATGATGGTTTGAAATTTTTTTGCACCATTGTTCTTAACTTGTTGAAATAAGTATGTATTTTAAAAATATTTAAATTAGATCTGGGTAGCTAAAATGAATTTATTCTAAATATCAAAGGGATTGGTGGCGGACAGTTATTTTAGCCTAACCAAGTACCTACCTATATAATGCATGCATTATTATTATTGCAATAATACTTTTTAATTTGTTATTATGTCTATTTGAAATCAGTTAGTCCACTTTACTCAATTTCAATTGCTTTATTCGAACGTATTAAAAACTGACCTCCACCAATCCCCTTAAATTATAAATTAATTTTTTTTGTAATATAATATAATGTACCTACTTACAGTTTTATTTTATAGTACGGTTTATAGAAGAACCTCTAATTTTCTTGTATATATATGTTATGTCTCTGGGGAGCTCTATCCCCCCCTTATTACCTCTTAATTACACCCCTGCCCATATAATATATTATTATGTTATGTGTATATTATTATTACAACAGCAAATATTTAATGTGACAGTTATCATGAAGAAGTAATAGTTATTATCCACGCTACTAATTAACATAAAACGAGGTATATTTACTGAAGCTTTAAGTAGGTATTCTAATGTTTCTAAACTTGCCAATACCCATTTATTACAATTATTATTATTAGTCAGAGAGTTAATAACTTGTCCTTACATATTTTGTACAAATATTGATGCGTATATGTTATATATGAATGTAGCCGATTCAACTCGTATCCCAAGTATACTGGCTATAGCCATGGTAGGTACATCAGACCAACGTGAATAATTTATTATTTAAATATTAAAATAACATAAAAGCAAAATACTTAGATGAACAACAATAATAAAAGACCGTAACTAAAATAAAATTATACATAGCATACATACTCTTTTATATCATCTCCATCAATAATGTCGGATACTTTGAATTCATTTTCGATTTGCATAATATTAGTTCCATGTGTACTCTGAAACGTAACAAGCATACTTGTCAATTCAACATAAATTATGATTTTCAGAAAGTATAAATCGAACAATATTATTATTAATATTATAAAAAAAAACACATAGGTACAGATATAAAACGAACAAAAAATTATAATATCGTTCAATACCTGAATTATTTAGAAAAGTATACAATTTGGTAGGCAAATAAAGACATTTGACTGTGGTGTGTCACAATAGTATAATACTGTAACTGATTTTTATCTTTTACGGATAAATCAGAGTATTGGATCGTTTCAGGTCTTTCAAAATATATTAGTTAATTTTAAACAAATTAAAGTTTGTTTACTGAACATACTGAACATAAATAATGTATAATATTATAATTTATATTGTATTTTCAAATTGTCAAAAAAAAATGTATTGATTTTATAGAAATTACGACATTAAAGTTATTACAAAATTAAATTAACAACAGCGGTAAGAATAACGCATTTTTCACATTTATTTTATATAATCAAACACCCGCAGTCAGTCCAGACACATAAAAAAAAATTCAAATATATTCAAAAACGTACATAAAAATTGTTTTAAAAAATATATGAAAAGAAAATGTTAATCATTTAATCGGTATATGGTATACACAAAGTTAGATTATTAAGAAGTCGCATATTATTTTACGGTTTTATTGGAACGTATACGTATAATATGTACCTAGAGGTGTAGGATATATATCTGTGAATTTTGAAACATCTGTTTTTCATTCTATACTCTTTACGAGAATTCTTAATTTATTCACTGATAATAAAGCTATACCATAAAATGTTTAAAAAAATAAAAACCAATCAGATTATGTTTGATTACATACACACGATACAAATCTAGTTCAAAAATCAAAATGCACAAGTTCAGCATACTCATAAATTATAATTTTATAATCCTTGCGAGTCTTATAATAAGTATAAGCAGAGTTTCTTAGATAGGAACAATATATATTATATAGTAATATTAATATTACGAAATATATAATAACAAATAACAATTAATACATGCGAAAATGTTTCATTGAATGGTATTTATCATGTCCTTAATATTATTCGCTGCAGAGGGATAATAAGGGAACACATCAAACTGTTAAATTAAATCAAAACCAGTTGATTCAATAAAGAGCGTCTTTTTTTAAATTATATCATGGGCGGTCGGATTGCGATAATTGGTCGAATTAATTCTACAAGAATATAACGAACGTGGCGTAGCGTGTATATCTCACAACTGTTGAAGATTGTTAACGAATGAAACATTTTAAAATTATTATTATTAAAACTATTCTATTTTATACGCAGTCTTCGGAAACACCGAATGAATACGATGAAAAAATGTAACGTTCTTCGAGCTGAGTTTAAAAACCTTCACAAGAAATTAAATAATATATACCTACATGGTCAACCTAGCATACTCAAGTCTCAAATCAATCTTAATTGTAACCTACAACTATACTATAACTATATAGAAGTGTTTTCGATTATAATTTATTTATATTATAAAGAATCCTGACCAACAGGTAGATTAGTCAGTTATAGTCAGTTTCGGATTACGGAGACTAAATTATCCTACATGGCTACATAATAATTCTGACACATAAATTGGCATATCGTTGATATTATTTTCAACGCACAGTTCATTTTATTATCAATTAATATTAATAATTGCCAAATAATAACAAACACAATTAGCTGTCCGCTAATAGTCATTTCGATTTCTCACTTCCAAACTTGTAAATTCATGTAGAAACATAACTTAATAAATATTTTAATACCAAACATTGTATACGAACCGAACTTATACAACTATTCAAGTTATTATAAACTTATACATTCAAAAAAACCTCGATACATAATATAATCTACATTTAAATATCAATAGGTTCATTTTAAACTTTAATTATTTCGTCGATAATCTTAACATTTCACTGAATAGTGAATATTAATCAATAATCACTATATATAATTGACCACCAGTTTTATTAAATTAATGTTTTATTTTTCATCATTATTATTAAGCTACAAAAACAATAACGAAAATACCATAATATTCTTACTAAATTTAGGTATTAGGTACAACGAACCCATTTATTCCATCAAAAGTATTTTAGCTCTCGTAGACATTAAAAATAATCATCCTATACTCCTATTATATGAAATTATTTAGATGTTTTATAACTGTTTAAGCATTTACAAGAATTTATCCACAGTCCTCGCCATAGTAAATATTTATATTGCAATTTAGTATAAAGTTTCCTAATATAATTTTTATTATTTAAAGTATATTGTATTACAGTAGTTTACGTTCATTCATTGGTCGATTTTGTAATCTTGAAAAAGTGGAATGAACTTTTACTTTATAATGTATATTTGATGATCATAATTATATAACACACGATTTATTGACTTGGTATGGTATCATTATCATTTACATTTAACCAACGAAAAGTTCAGATTCTTTTCGATTATATTTTGTATACATTAAATTTAAACCATATATTATTATAGTGCAGGAGGTATAAAATAATAATAAATACACAAAACGATTTTTTTTTTATATAATTTTGTTATATTAAAAACATATAGGAGTATAAAAGTATAAAACATATTTAATAATGTAAATAATAATTCAGATAAGATTTATTTATAGAGAACAAAATCGTAACATTAAATTTACATAAATAATAATTTTATAAATAAGTTAGGAATTATTTCCCACAATGTACGAGTTATATTTTTAATTTACACATGAAACTGAACAACGATACCGTATAAGGCACAAAATATTATGTAATAAATATAAATGTACAATTCATAAAAAAATCTAATTCCAAGAAATGTTCGTACACACAAAAAAAAACAAACACATAATAATTGGAACGAAATACAATAGTATAATTATAAGTTATACAACAAAACGTGTAAGTGTATATCCAATTATTTTACAGCAGAGTGAGCACAGTCCTGACCGCAGAAAAATAAACTGGATGCACGTAAGTTGTCACGAAACAGGTAAGCAGTTGATGAGTGTAGATCTAGTCACAGCTTTGAATATTCAGTGTCGACTAGAAAAACACCCACGGACCGTCTAACCATTGTACATTACGCATCGTTTACATCGCAGTCACACGCTGGGCGGCGGCATGTATCCGTGAAAAACAAAAACCGTTTATATGACACACGCACATAAATACATATCATATAGTCATTGAACTTACACACTACAACAATATGGGTATTACAAAAGACTCGGTTCTTGAGAAAAAGACATCCCTACACACACACACACACGCACCGTATGGGTCGAGATTGGTATATAAATGAAAAACGAAACAAAATAAAAAATCACGAAATCAACAAGTGTATAACGGTCGTAGTTAATGAAATTTCTACACATTTTAAAGTAATAATAGTACTATTAAAATAAAATATACATCGTTACACGCAAGTCGTAACGGTTATAATGACGCGGGCAACTACCGACACGCACACGGCAATGATATCTATTGGAATACGGAAAAATGTTTAAAAAAGCAATTGAATAATAATTGGACATAGCGCGAAAAGATTAAAAACTAAAAGACGTCGTGATGTATTTAGGTTTCGGTTTATCGATAATGACGACATTGAAATATGTACCACAGAACGGCGAGAACAAAAGACCGGACGACGGGAAAAAAAATTCTAAATCTGATTTGAAAAAAAAATGTACGTGAAAAGAGAGCGGCCGCGGCCTCTCGTACGTAATGTGCGTGTGATACCGTGTTGTGCGCGCGTCGCGTACTGTGGCAAACGATTGCCGGTGTGGAAAGAGCTATTACGTGTGTGCGTCGTACGAGTTAAATAACAACAACGTTCTACTTTCCCTCCACAAACGACAATTATTATTATTATAATTATTATTACCGACTGGCGAGTGTGGCGAACGGGTAGGAGCCGGCGAAGCGGTACCGGGCAGCAATTGACTGCGGCGGCGATTACGAAACGTACAGGCCAAAGGGGGAAAAAATAATTATTGCTTGATCGATGGGGGGAAACGCGGCGTCGTCGTGTTTTAAAAAATTAAAATAATGGCCTAGCACGAGTAATCAAAGCACGCGCCCACCTTAACGGTTTGAAAAAAAGTCAGTCTCCTCGAAACGGATACACTATTAAGTGAGATCGACCGGGAAAAGAGAAAATGTATAGTGCGTTTACCGTTAAAAGAGACGTTCCAGAAACAGCGGCGTAGACGACGAGGCGGACCAGGTACCGACGGGAAAATGAACGGCAGAGGCGCAGACGCCAAACGGCCAACCGGCAAACCGGCGGCGTCGACGTAGGGAATCGACGCCGCCACTGGAAGGAGTAGTTACATTGCGCGCGCGCACTCGGCCGAGCAGGATAAAATACAACCGACTCTCTGCGGCGTTTTGGCCTTGAACGATACACACATACACATACAAACACATATACACACATGAGCGCGCGCGCAAAGACGGCAACACACGCGGTAGAAAGGTAGAGAAGAAAAAAACCAACCAACCAATCAGGCGGCGAGGAGGGGACGCCGCGCGAATGCCGTCAGGTAGGATGCGGCGGCGGCAACCGGTGGATTCCAGTCGGCTTTCCAGCATAATAATAATAATAATAATATTATAATACGTTATTGTAACCGCGCGCGCGCACACACACACACACACACACACACACACACACCAAAGAGTTTCCTATTCCATGCACACATTATACACGATACACCAAAGTCAAAATACCTAAGTACCACGACTGTATTGTACTACGCCTGTTATTATTTGGCTAATTATCCAGTCAGACCCGGTGGCGCAACTAGCGGGAAGCCGGGAAAGTTGGGTATGTGAATCTTTCGGGCGCCCGATATCGTTCCTACGCCCCGAGGTACAAACTACATGAAAAAAAATTGCATTAACCGAAATTAATAAAAAATTCGAAGATAATAAAATAACTATAATTATCGTTTGGGT